GGGACCAGAAAGATTTACTATTGATCTTCCGTTGGTCAATAATACCCCAGTCACCTCTTGTAACAACATCCCTGTGTCAATATCCTCAAACAAATGAATCAGATGCAAAATCCTAGTTAAGCCATCTCCATGAGTATATTTCCTGGCCAATTACTAAAGATTTTGAACAGTAAACAATTAAAAGGAAAAAAAATCAATGGCAAAAGTAAAAACGTTTGAACCAAAATAAGGAAAATCAGAAGAAGGAAAAAGAAAAACTAAGAAGCAAGTACACAGCATGCCCATATACAGAAAGAAAATTGAGAAGCGACAATTGAGGCTACAATGGGGGCTAAAAGGAGGTTGTTGGACAAATGAATTACCAGTCCACTTCCCGTAGTATGACACAATCTCGAAGCATCGTGGTAGCGCTCTTCATCTACTGCATTCTATACAGGAACAGAAAGCAAAAAGATTCATATCCAATTCTCTGCATGACTGACAATTGAGCTTAAACTACTCTTTTACCTTCAATTCTGACATAATTTCAGCAATGCTATCCTTCAATGTTGCTTCTCGAATGGCTGTTTTCAACTTTGCAGCTTCTTGAAAGTCCTCCCTCTCTATTGCATCTTCTAGTTGGAACTACGAATATACAACGATGCAGAGCAATTAACTTTCAAGTATCAGTTACCACAAATAGTTGCTATGTCAGTAATTCATGCCTCAATTCTGATTTGCCTCTCTGATTTCATGCCTATTAGATGAATATCTAGATCAAGTAGATGGTAATGACCATGTTTACATGTTGCAATCCCATGCGGCACTGCTCTTGTTTAAGAACTATTATCAGCAACACACAGATTCACTAGAAGGCTTCCAAACCTTTTGCTACAGTTAGAATGTAAAACATCAGCACAAGTTGCACAGTTAGACAAAAGAAATGCGGTAGGAAACTAACTCAAGTATATTATTTCTAAATGGAAACAGGAAAGTTTAGAATGATCAAGCACAAACAGAAATTACAAAAAAGAAAAGTGGACTCGAAAAAGCTACCGTAGAGCCAGAACTCTGGCTGCTAAACCAACGACCTGGAACACATTCTGGGGGTTAGATATGGAGGCAGGGAGTCAGAGTGGGATGATTGATAAAACATCTTCATTTTAATATAGTGTTGTGGTATCCACTGATAAGTGACTGAATTTAAAATTTTCTAAAACATTATTTCATCTATAGCAAAAGCTAGTTTATTGCACAGATATGCCAAGAACAATAGAAAAGCTGTAATATTTAGTTCTGTTTAATGTCACAGCTGAACAAATGAATAGCCACTTTATTGGAGACACATCATTTTCTATTAAAAAGTAATAACTAATACTAGAAGTGCAACAGTCCAATTTTGTAGGAAAATAGCATTTTTGTCAAGGGCAAAAGGTTGAGCCATCTAATGACTCTACCATGATGCGGCTATGACTTCTAGAAGCTTCCTTTATTCAATGGTGCATTATATTTTAAACTAAGAATCAATATGAATTGTGAGCTACAGACTTTAGACTCTAAAAAGTTAGCTCAGAAAGAGGATTAAAGAGATGGACACATAACCCCTTTTCACAGTATATCTTGGTACAGGATTCGAAAGAAAAGAATATCAGGCGCTTTTCAACTCATAAACTATTAGTCTATTCATACATATTTGGACTTCAAAAGAAGAGGGCATCCACCTTTACAAGTAATGCTTCGTCCCTTAAGCCTTTTTCTCATCCTGCACCCCTACCACTTTATACATGAGAAAGAAACATAAAAGTTGCTAAGTACACCTTATGTAGATGGAGTTCTCTGCCAAATTAAAGTAGGAGTTTTCTGAGTTCTTCTATTCCAATTTTTTCCATCTTATTGACTCAGTGAAATTATGAAAGTTGCACTTCATTACCAAGATACTGGACATGTTTATGAACTGGCGATCACATGAGATGTTAAGAACACAATGTGCCAGAAACCAAACTTCAGCAGGTGCAAAATTCTCTCTTTTCAGCTAAAAAAGCTAGATCATACCATCCTTTATGCAACATTCTCGAAGTCGAAGCCAAACAACAAATGAATTCTAGCATAAAACAAATATTTTGCTTTCCAATTTGATTAAAGAAGCTGTATGGAACAGCATGCTCTCCAAAAGCCAAGACTGTCAGCGATGATTCCTTAACATTGAGTCAAACAAAACAACTGCTTAATTCCACACAAGCTTTATCCAAGATATAAATGTAGCATGAAGATTCAAGTCCAAGAATGTAAGCATCAGCACATTATCCTTAGCTATTACTCAAGATCTTTTCCTTGCACCCCATAGATTTCTCGTCTAAAATATGATAAACCAATTACAAAGAAAGGGTGAAAGAGAGAAGAGAACAGACTGCACTTGATGTTAAAGTGGAGAGAAGAGATGAGAGAAGGGAGAATGAGACTTAATCTTCAAGACCGCATTTTATCCTTCCAAAACTGGAAAGTAATTGAGGAAAGAATCTGTGGCAATCAGATTTTATTATAGAACATCCTGTACAATTTTATTTTTTGTTCCTTTTCTTCATTGGACAAAACAAAAAAGAAAGAGAAGAAAATAACTCTCTCTTCCCTACATTCAATCTGAATGAACTTTTAAGTCCTCTCTCTCTCTCTCTCTCTCTCTCCACATTTTTAAACTAATAAACATAGCGAAACTAATCAGACCAATTCTCAACAAGAGTGCTTTCAGCCACAGCCATGAAAACATTAAAGCAGAAATTATGTTGCTTTCCAGAAGTCCTCCCGAATGCAAGCCATGGGCCCTGTAATATTCTACCTGTATAAGAAACCTGAACTTCCAACTCCACTAAGGAACTACTTGTAAAAACAACCTTTCAACTACAACATCTCAGCAGCTCTCATTCAAGTGGTCTAAATCTATAGTCAGTTCTATCATCTTCAATAGTTCACTATCTTCCATAATTGTACGAATATTAAAAGAGACATAAAACATCTTCCCAAACAGAACAACCAAAATCCTAATTACAAATATAACTTCCTATAACTTCCCCTTTTCATCTCGCAAAAGAACAAAACTTTAGCCATCAAAACACTGAACATTAGTCCCTACCATCAAACAGTAACAGCTTTCCCCAAACTCTCAACAGCTAGTATGAACAAATAGACATCAAATAGTAAAAATAATAATAAACCTATAATTGTTGTTACTACAAATTTAAAATCTACCTACAAACCACTAAACAAAAATTAAAGTTTTACAAAAAAATGATATGAAAAACCCAAAGAGTAAAGATATCGGGTACAACCATTTGAAGAAAAATCCAACCTTTAACACAGAAGCATAGCTCTCTGCTTGCTCAATCTCTGAAATATGGCGAACCCACAAATTCCAATCCCATTCTGATGCTGGAGGAGGAGAATTATTGCTATTTTCATCATCAAATCCAGTATAGGAGGCCAAAGAAGAAGAAGAACCCTCATCATTATTGTTGCTGCCAAGGCAATAAAGCCTTGACTTCTTATTGTTCTTCCCAATGAACAACCACCCTTTTCTTGAAAAATTAAGACTGCTAATAGACTTCTTATTATTCTTGGCAAATATCAACTGCTCTGACAAAGATGATGAGGATGAAGAAGAAGAATTAAGGGTTGGCCTTAATTGATGAATTGGGACAGTGGAAGAATGCCCTGTGGCCCAAGTGTTGGCCACAGCCATCTCTGTTTCTGGATGAGGTTTTCAGCACTTGATATCTGTGTGTGCCACTGTGTGTTGTGTGTGTAAAAATGGGAGAGTGAGGGAAGTTTCTTGCGGGTTTTATGGATTTTATGGCATGGAATTAAGGATAAAATTTTGGGATAATTCTTTGTTCATGTGGTCCAATCTGTGAGCAAGTGTCAGGATCAGGAATCAGGTGGCCTTAGATTTGTTTATGGGTCGCAATGGATATTTTTGCGGTGGTTCTATAGTTTGTCTCTATTCTTCATTTTTTTTCTTTTAATTTCTAATTATTATGGATTCTTTCATACAATGATGAAATATAGTAGTAAACACTTTTAATAGCAAAAGAATTTTACGAGGAGCTAAAACCTTTTTTTTTGTTTCAGTTTCAAAGATTGAGGTTTAGAAGAAGCTAAATCAACATTTTTTTTCTTCCATACATATATACATGCACATATCATTGAGATGTTGTCATTAATTTCAATCACGAGTTATTTGTAACCTTTGAATTTTCTGTCAAAAAGGTTGTATTTTCTAAATACCAATCCCTGAATTTCGCCCTAATAAAATTGTGCAATTAAATTGAAACAATTTAAGATGTTCTTTTTTTTTATTAATTTTTGGGTGGTAGAAAAAGAATTTACGACATTGCTCACCCTTTGACTAATTTTAGTTATTGCAGGAAACTAAGATGAAAAGCACCAAAGACAACTACAATAAATATCAAGCAACTTTATATTTCTTCACCATGTAATTAGAAAAGGGATTTTCTTTTATAGAAAATAAACTTGGAACATAGGCTTCATGTTTGAGCAACTTAGGTTTTTTTACTAGTAAAACAATTAAGGAGTTTCCATAGGGTTCAATGAGGTTCAAATAGTATTCCAAATAAATAAATAAGCTTTTTTTTTTAAATTTTTCCATTACCTTTTCGTCTTTGTAATTTGTATAGATCCAAAACTAAGGACCAGGAAACTCTAAGGTACTTGTCTAGCCTTTCCATGGTGGGAGTCAATTTGCAGGCTTCTCTACGTTCTTTCCTCGAGTAATTTTACCACATCAATGCTGTTCCCCTTCGTTCTTGTGATATCCAAATTACTGCATTTGTAATCTAAACTAAAAAAGTTCTCACTTTTTTGCATATGGCATGCATGTATATAACCAATTTTAGCAGGTTCAAGGTTCATCAAGTTATCTTCATGTAAACTTTTCTCAAGGTAGAGGCATTTTCGATTTACCAAAGTACAATTAGAATAATTGAAATCTTATTTATGTAAACTGTTGAAAGCATCATCGATCCTCGTCCCAGTGCTAAATAGCAGGTGCAAATGTGCAGTAACCAGTCAAACAGTTGAAATCTTCTCAACATTTTACAGAAACATGAGCACAAGCGACTCATTTTCATCTCCAAAAATTTACTGATAATTAAGAGATCAGCCCAGAAGTCCTTGTTTCTGTAACTATACTAGATAAGGTGCTTGACCTTTCAGTTCTTTTGGCTAATAATTAACAGATGCAATGTGTTCTAGTGCATCCACAACTTGTTTCATTGATGGTCTGGCTTTAGGATCAAAAGCAAGACAATTCTGAGCAAGCTTAGCCACGCCAACGGCTGCTTTTATTGGGTATTTGCCTTCTAACCGAGAATCCATTACGCCCTCTATCTTCGTTTTGTCAAATAACTGGCACTTGATCCAGTTAAACAAGTAGTGTTTCCCCTTCGGACGACAGGTGTCCAGAGCCCTTAAACCTGTTAACACTTCGGCCAATACAACACCAAAACCATACACATCGCTCTTCACACACAGCTGCCCTGGGACACAAGAATGAGGAATATTGTGTTATGATCATTCAGTTGGCATCTTTGCTCAGACACTCTAAGCCGCCAGCTTACTCAAAACTTTTAGCTCAGTTACTGCCAGCAATTTTACTATTGCCGTATGAATAGCTTGAAGGAGGCTCAAGAGGTCTACTTAAGAGTGATTTTACCTGTTCGAATGTACTCGGGAGCAGCATAACCAAGTGTTCGCCCTGCTTGTATTGTTACATTTAATTGACCGTTCAAGGGACCAATCTTTGCCAGGCCAAAATTTGATAGTTTGGCATTGTAAGACTGAAAAGAAAAAGATTGTTCCACATTAAAAAAAAAGGAATGAGGCTTCTTAGGGTGTAACCTCAAAGTCTTGGCAGACAAGTTTTTTGTCAAGTTTATCTGCTACAAGTTTTTTAAAAACTTTAACTACAGTAATCTCAAAAAACTTCTCAAAGTTTTTAAACTATACACTTCAAAATTTTTTTTAAAAACTTCTACAATAAGTTACAGTAAAATTTTAGATAAATACCCAAAAAACTCACTTACCAAACGGAACCCTAATTTGGCAAGTAAAGTTTTTAGGGAGTAGGGATAGGTGCCGTTGGGATTTTCGTTCGGTTGTCAAGTTATTATACTTTTTGAACAATATGATATATAACTTTGTTGTACTTGTAAAGTTTATTCATGCACACCAATTCAACACCAATTCAATCGCGTAAATAAAACAACCGTACTTGATCGTACCTGTCTCAATTCCAATTTTTATAGTATATCGATATTAATTAAATTCCAAGTTTTACTAAATAAGTTAAGAAAATTTGACGTGTTATAATAGTGTGACTTACAGCATCAAGTAATATGTTTGAGGCCTTGAAGACTCTGTAGATAACTTGTTTCTTTACTGCATGCAAGAATGCCAAAGCACGAGCCGCTCCAATTAATATTTTAAGCCTTGCATCCCATTGAAGTGGTTGAATAGAAGAACCCCCTAAAGACAGAAAACCAACAGCTAGAAATTATTGGAATGGCAGATTTTTACCTCAGATTTGACGCTATGCTGTTCCAAGATTAAAGGAGGGTAAAAATCTCACTTCCAAATAAGTGGTTGTCAAAGCTGCCCTTTTGCATATACTCATAGACAAGGAGCATATCTTTACCCTTCCAGCAATAACCGAGGAGCTTAATAAGGTTAGGATGAGAAAGCGTTCCAAGCATGCATATCTCTGTCTGCAAAAATGTGAAGAAACTTTTGAAACAACTTAGAGAAAGTCTTAAAACAGAAACCCTATGAAATTTCATCAGGAATCATGTGTAGGAGGAGTCATATGCATATCTCAGACAAACTCAACCATGCATCTTTCTTCTTTCCTCTATTAAGTAGAAGTGCAGAAGATATGGTAGCAAACTTCTATTTCTTCGGGAAAAACCAAGCATTGAATCCACCAACTTCCTGGTTCTAAAACTGAACTTGGCATGCTACTTTATTTTATTTATTTGAAATTAAGCCACGAATTTGAACTTTATGTAGCCTTATGATGTGGGAAATGCCTGCAAAATTTCAAATGCAATTGATCTTGTACGTTAGAGAAAATTTAATCCGTGGGACACTTATAATGTCACAAGGTGTGTAATTCATAATACAAGCAACGAGTTGAGTAAAGTGGTTCCTGCTTTTCTCACCGTGTGGATCCAAAACGGGCAAAGCGTAACCTACCTAGTTAGCCCTTAAACTCTCTGTTTTCAAACTCGGACCGGACCGGCCGGTCGAACCGGTTGAACCGGGAACCGGCCAGGTAGCCGGTCCGAGTCACATTAGAAAACCGGAAATTTAAAACCCGGTCAAAGCCGGTCAAAAACCGGGTTTGACCGGGTTTGACCGGGAAAAAACCGGTTTTTCCGGTTCAACAGTATTTTTTTAAAAAAAAATTCAAACTTTTTAATATTATGTTTTGACCCCCTAAATTGTTAAAACTTATTGATATACCTCAAATATTTGATACTTTATAAATATTGTCCTAAAATTTGATGTTATTTTTCAATTAAATTCATAATTTTAATTCTAAACTTGTTAATATTTATTAAATAATATAAATTGCTACTTGATTGTTCTAATTTCTTTGTATTTTCTTGTTAAATATATTTGAAACATCAAATATATATGAATATGCCTTTATTAATATCAATATATTATTAGATATTATATATATAACATTTTAATTTTAAAATAATTTTTATTTATGACGTCATCCGGTTCGACCCCTATCGACCCCCGGTCGAACCCATTGACCCCTGACCCCTGACCTCGGCCGAGTCGCTATCCGGTCCGGTTCTGAAAACATAGCTTAAACTACTTTAGATATCAACTTTTGGCTTCACAATTATTTCAAGCCTCAAATTAACCTCTCAAAATTAAAGTGTTAAAATTTGATACTTCAAACTATTTTCACCGTTAAAATTGATGGATCTAAGAATAAAATTTGACACATCTATCGGCAAAAATGAATTGAAGATTAATCAAATTTGATATTTCTTATTATTTAGGAACCAATTTGAGATTTGAAATATATGATATGATAGCCAAAAGGTTGACAATTGAAATAATTTAAGGACTCCATACTACTAACTACTTTATGCCCTTTATAACTTTTAGTTGTGCCATGCATGAAATGACAAATTAATACTCCCTCCGTCCCACTTTGATAGTCCTGTATTCTTTTTTCATCTGTCCCAAATTGTAGTCCATTTTCCAATTGAAGAATGTAGTTGTATTTTAATTTTCCTAAAATACCCTTATTCAATGTAAGTAGTTCTTACTATAAATCTATCCCATTTAATGAAAGTTGATTCTTTTTTTACCATCAATTCAAGTTCCCATAAAGTTGTACCATATTTAATGTGAAGGTATTTTAAGAAAATAGCAATCTAAATTTACTTTTCCAACAAAATTAACTACTTTTTCTTAAACTGTGTGAAAAAAAAAACAGGACTATTAAAGTGGGACGGAGGGAATACTAAGCTACTTTGTTGTGTCAGTGATGGTTATAACTAATTCAACCTCATGCAGTGTTTTGAAAAATGGATCGGATCGACTGTTTCAACCTATTCAATCATGAACCGTCCATGGTCCAAGCTGATTGAATGAGAAAGCTTGAAAGTGGTCGAAACCTCGATCAAGATTGGATAAAATTGGTGAACAGTTAAAATCAGTTAAATTGATCAAGGCGGGATTTTGGATTTTAGATTTCGGCCACTGGAAATTGTTCTTGGACTGCTCCAAGTTTTGCAACTTTCTGATGTTATGGGCTGCCAAAGCTGAATTTCAGTGGACTACTATAGAACTACTACTAACTTGTTTATGTCGCTCAAGCCCAAAACAAAATACCTAATCAAATTGAAAAAAAATTTTAAACCGTCAAATCCTCTCCCTGTTTCTCTAATCATCAGACCAGAGCCGCCCCCTCTGCTCCTCCTCCGCTCTTCCACCTCCTCCATGCCTCTTACTACCAAACTTAGTGACTGCCCTTTTGCCCTTCAATTTTTCATCTACTATTTTATTTTATTTTGGGAACTCATCTGTAGAAGCCCTCTTAGATTTAAGATTTTTCTATTGTATGCTGCGTAATTGTTGAATAGTAGCTATTCTTTAACTTTTAAAACTATTAAAATCAATGATCAATGAACCAGGAAAAATTGGAACCGAATAGTCGGCCCATTCACTTACCGGTCCGAATTTCAAAATATCGACGTTAGGAAGCATCACTAGAAAGTAGTTAATTAAACCTTATAGGCCCTTCCAAGGGAGCCAAGTTGGTTTCACTAAGAGTTAGTAGAGATTCAGTGTTCGAGCCTTGTCACAAAAATGAGAAATAATCCAACAACCCGAATAAGGATTGGGGTCTAAAGTGGGACCAGGTCCTTTTGTTTGTTGGAAAAAAAAAATTAAACCTTATAGACGTTAGGACAAAGGAAAACCATTTGCATCATGACTTCATACCATACTCATTTATTAACAGGTTAAGCAACTTTGACATAAATAACATGATTATGAATATGTTGCAGAAGAAATTTATGTTATGCTTCAAGCATCGGAGACGCTTAGTCCTAGTATGATCAAATAAATTCACTAGTCGCAGACTGTTCTCTCAATGAAGAGGCCACATGCTAGCCTTGACTAGTTTCTAGTATAATGCTCCTGAAACCTGGTGAAATCAACTGTCACACTATTCATTTGACTTATATGCATAGTTTGATAGTGATGAATTGAATAATTCAGAAATAAAGTGTAAGTGAAAAATTTTAAATTTAAGCCCTCACACTTAAAAAAAATTTCCATGACTGAGGAAGTTTGTAATGTGAGAGTGGGAATGGCAGACATCGCATTTGGTCCCACCCATAATGCTGTCCGAATCATGTGCAAGTGGATATGTTCGAATTCGGGTTTGCCCTTGACAATCAGTCCCATAAATAAAAAGAAGTCTAGTATTAACTATTTGGGAATAAAAACTTTACCTCTTAAGGTCCCCCCAACTTTACCTCTTAAGGTCCCCTCCTAAAGTTTCTTGCATTATATTAAGAATTAATCTTTTCTACACGTAAATTGTATTTAAATTCATTAATGTATACTAGGGGTGTGAATCGAAATCGAAATCGGTAATTCGAAACTTTGAAATCAGAATTTTCGACCGAATTTGATTCGAATTCACCAACTCCGAATTCGAATTCAATTCGGAATTCGATAAATTCTGATTTCACTGAATTCATGAATATAAAAATTATTATTATTATTATATAAATGTTATATATATACATACATATATATATATATATATATATATATATATGAAAACGAATTTGAAATCGAAATAGGAATTCCGAATTACCAAATTCAAGAATATAAAAATTATTATTATGATATAAATGTTATATTACATATATATATATGAAAATATTACATATATATATTAAAATATTATATATATATATATATTTATGTGAAAAACGGATTTGAAATCGAAATAGGAATTCTGAATTCCGATTTTGATTTCAATTTCGAAATCAGAATTTCCTAATTGAAAAATCCCATTAGTGAATTAAACCTGATTTCATCTAATTCTAAATCGGATATTCCAATTTCCATTCCGAATTACTGAATTATTGAATTCAAAATTCCAAATTCAATTTGAATTCGGTCGATAAATCGAAATTTTTTTATTTTGCACACTCCTAATGTATACAATGCTAATATATAAAAAATTTATCCTTATATTAATAGATGAGTAAAGTTTCTTGTAGTAGATTAATAAGAATTTTTCTAATAGATATTTATTAACACCTAAATCACATTTTTAAGTTATAATCATACTTTTTTTTTTTCTCCCTATGATTGATAATTGAAGGTAAGGACCCTTGAATGGTGGATTCATAGTTGCGTCTATAAATAAATCCAGACTTTCATGAGTTCTGTGACAAGAATACAGTAAATTTTGGGTTTCCATGAATTCCTATATATACACATCCAAATCTTTTTATTTTGGGTAAATTACACTTTATTCCCTTATGATTTATAAATTAGTGTTTTTCTACATAACTCCTCTATGGGTTTCAAAAATTATATATAATCCCCTCATAGTTTGAATTAAAGCATCAAAGTGATGGAAATGATAATTCGTAATGAAATCACCTAAAATATCAAAAATACCCTTATTTAAAATTGAAAATTATTTATTAACCAAGGGAGGTTATATGTATATTTTGAAAATCAAAAGGGGGTTATATGGTAAAACATTAAACCATAAGGGGGTTATATGGTAAAACATAAAATCATACGGTATAAGTGTGTCATGTATTTATAAGGGTAATTTTAACATTTTTAAAGGTTCCGTTATGAATGATCATTTCCATCGCTTTGACATTTTAATCCAAACTATGAGGAAGTTATGTATAACTTTTGAAACCATAGGGGGTTTATGTAGAAAAATACTAAATCACAGGGGGGTAAAGTGTAATTTGCCCTTTTATTTTGACCTTTTGGAAATGATACATCGAAAGCTTGTCCTAAAATGAATTATTTCAAGAGAATGGCATCACAAGAAGGAAAAGCAATGCTCCAGCCTTCTATGTTCCAATTTTTTTTTTTTTTCATGTGACTGGATCGTTATCTGCGAAGGAACAAGAAAGACCATGCTAAACTAATCCGAAAGACTTTAAAGGATCAGTTAGGAGCCGAGTTTGTATTACCTTCCACTCTACAAATCCTTGCAGACTTTCAGCTTTCAACTTTTGAACTGCAACAAGTGATTGACTGCCAGTCTTTGATGTGGACTTCTCATGAAGCCAACCTTTGTATACTCTTCCAAATTCACTTTCTCCGAGCACTCTATCACTTCTGAAATTGTTGGTTGCAGCCTTGAGCTCTGAGAGAGAGTAAATCCTTAAGTTAGGCAGGTCCCAGATAACTCCGTGTGGATTAGTCTCCTCAGTTCCACCAGCTGCTGAACTTCGGCTGTTAGATACCACAATGTTGTTGTTTGAAGATGTTCTATTTGCGTTTGCCTGTGATGTACCTGCTCCAAAATATACTTAGTTTATTGGCCTGTCTCATGGACCAATGATGTTATCTTTGCAATTTTGGAAGTGGGGTAGGATTGAAAGGCAAATCAAGTTACTTGATACTTGGGTTTGATTAAAACTCATTCGAATTTAGTTTGCTAACTAATCAAACTAAACATGAACATTATTTTGTGTTCCATAAACTTTCAAATTTAGTTCAAGTTATTAGCATATTATTTGAAATTTGTACATATAGGGTTTATATTACTTGAGTTCGACTCAATAAAAATTCGTTTTTATTTCGTTTGGATAAATAAATAATACAAATTAAAAAAAGTCAAAGTTAAACACAATTTAAGTTCGTCAAACAAACAAACAAGTTTGAATACAAGAGTGTTTGGTTTGATTAGGCTAGTTTATGGGAGGGTTCGAGCGACGGGGCTGGTTTGAATCCTCTTCTAGTTATGTTTTATCATCTATTGTAACTTAAAGAAAAAAAAAAGATCATCTGCAAATCATGATTAGGCTCTTGAAACAGGAAGAAGAAAAAGGCAAGAGACTAAGCAAAAAAATAACTGAACTTCGATCAAAGCAGCAGTATGAAACATGCTAAGACATGTACGCAGCAAAAAATGTTGACTATTGCTGATAATTTTCACATACATGCTCAAAGAATTGCGGTAAACACATGAAGACCACAGTGAATACTATTCATGAAAAAAATAGAAAAGCCCAATGGTCTCCAGTCTTGATCACAAAGAATAGTTTCATCAAGCAGGCATTGGCATGAATTAAAAACAGATTCAGGTCTGCTCAGAAACAGAAACTGCATGAATCTCAAGATCTAGTTCAATCTTCAATCAACCTACCTAATACAGATACTCCCTCGGTCATTCTTGTGCTCACCAGAGCCGAACATACCAAGCCAAGTTGAGCATCGATCCTAAGGGTTTCAGAAGTAGATAACCTTACCGACATAGGATCTTCCAAAGCCTTGAGTATACATGGCATTTGAGGGCGCTCCAAAGGCTTGGGACTGAGACAGGCTTTTGCAACTACTGCCACTGCCCACACTTCAATCAAAACATGCTCATCGACAACTAAACATGGATCCATAATGTTCAATAAGAGTTCTTTATCATATGTAGTGATGTAAGGAAGTACGTTTTCCATCCATTCCTTGATCCTGGAATCATAGCCATCGCCCAAACCAGGATTACCTGTGACTAGTTCAAGCAAAACCTTTCCAAAGCAATAAACATCATAGGCACACATCGCATTCGTTGCACCTGGTCATTTAAGAGAAGATTTAGACAAAAAGTATCGCTAATGTTATGCTTTTCTTTATGTTATTTAACGTTTAGAAAACTTTTCTTGTGAAGCATGATAGGTGGGGTTAAGCAAATGCAGAATTTTGAGCCTAAAAGTGATAAAGCTAACTGGTGATAGTGCTCTGTAAAGGACGGATTATATATTCTAAGGTTTTAAATTTTCTTGCATTACTCCACTAATCTTTTCTTCTTTTTGGTTCAACGTTGTTCTTGCGGTTCATGGTTCAACTTTAGGACTCATGCTACTTTTGCACACCCCTAACTAATCATAGGTAATTAATTTGCTCCCTTACTATCAATGTTCACACGCACCAGCCTCTCAAATTCTACTTTGTATTCCTAGTTTATTACCCAATATTGCTTTGCTTTTTTGACAAATTGCACCCTCAATTTGGTTTAAATATATTCTTATAGACCTTTTAAATCTGCAAAAGATGTACGTAGACTTTTACCTGATATTTGACATAGTTTGCCTCAGTCAAATTGATAAATTTATTGTTCATGATTATGGAAATATTGTGGCCATTATATATAGACACACATATGAAAAATGGTTTGCAAGAGTAAATTTATAAATTTGATGGTAATAAGGCGTGAGACATCATATAAAAATCTATGTATGCCTATTGCACATAAAATAAAAAAAATTGTAACCATGGAAGAAAACAAAGTTAGAAAAGTTTGGAAGTACAAAATAGAAGCCAATAATAAAAAAGTACAAAATAGCAAAATAGAAAAGTTTGTAAGTGCAAAGTGAAATTTAACTGGCTTAACTGATAGGTTTTTGTTGTGCACGGACAAAAATTCCTATAATTTTCTTAACACGATTAATCGTTGGATTAAAATGGGATAGATATAAAAGATTAGAGTGCTATATGTCGATACTTAAAATTGAGGATGCAAAGTGCAAAGTGAATTTAAATCTTAATGGTCCACAAACTATCTTATGCTTCTTTCCTTCCCTGAATTATAGCGCATTAAGGGAGATTGACTTTGAAATCAGTGCGTTTACCTGCACCTTCAAGTAAGAAAGTATAAAGAAAGATCAACCAACTACTTGGTAGTTGGCCATCAACAAAGATTTAAAACTCTACTTGGATATAGGTTAAATGATCAAATCCCATTATTTATATTCTAAAAATTTAGGGTTTCTTAAAAAATTTAAGCATCCATTTGGGCTGATGGTGGTGAACTATACGGAAAATTTGAAAAAAAGAAAAAAACTGAACTATACTGAAATCAATTTTGCATACCAAAAGCGCCCCCTTCAGAGCTCCTGCATGAATAGAAGAAAGAGTAGTGTAATAAAACTCAGATATGCAATATATTCGATAAGGATACATAAGATTGTAGGGCATGATAGATATATTAACATAATGCTGAGTTTGTTCATTTGAGTAAAGAATCTGATGCCAGTAACATCACTAGTTTCCTTTTAGGGTTAAATAAATGAATTTATTGAGCATCTCTGGTTCGAAAAAGTGTCAATGTACATGTTCTCCTCTGAGTTTGAAGGGAAAAATATAATACTGTACCAAGCCTTCAGTGGCTAATTTGCCGTTAGTCAACATTTTTTACTTTACAATTTTTTTTCCCACCACTAATTGCAGTTTGAAATATTATGTAGTTTCTTAACTTTCAAGATATTGAGGTTTTAGAATGAAATGTGATAACGAATTAGATTGAAATTGCTTTAATTGTGTACTAAAAAATTTAATTAAACTTATTTTTCCTTCCTTTTCTTTAGTTTCTTGATTTTATCTATTCATACCACTAGTTTCTCACATCTTCCTTACGCCTGTATGGTTGGTTCAAATTGGACATTTAATTACGTGTTCAACTTAATTACGGGTTCCACCACTTTTCGCTTATATTGATTATTGAACACGTAATTAAATGTCCCCTAAAGTTTATAAGCAATATAGTATATACTGGAAATTAAGTTGACAATCTAATAAATTTTATCTTTTTGGATTGCAATTCGTTATATATTAAGTTTCAAATGAAATAGGTATATTATAAAATTATTTGAAATATTCAATAAATCTATCGACATACATAAATATTAAAATAGTTACTTTAAATCTTTATCGTGGGAACATTAAGTTTGAATAGAAAGGAGAAACAAGAAAAGAAACAATAGGAAATTTCATAAAATTACCTTTAGAAACCAAATTTATTTTGAGTGAAATATTAGAGACTAATTTATCAGATAGGCCAAACATTAAAATCAAAATTGCATTTCTCGGGCAATCGAACTATGACAAAAATATCAAGTAATCAGAAATATCACCACAAGACAAAATACTTACTTTTGCAACTGCAATAACCTTGAAATCATGTTCTGATATTTTTCCTTTTTCTCAGTACAGACCTCAGAAAGCCTCCCTAACCGCGCTTCAAAGTTTTCATCAATGAGTATACTGCGAGCTTCAACATTTCTTGAACGAGTCCGACAACAGAATCATGCCAAATGACAAGTCAATCCCATCATGGAACGGTCAAGAGTTAAAAAATGACGCATAAAAAAGTAAAAGAAGAACAAAAAGAAATAATTATGCAAAAGCAGCATATGATAAGATTTCACATCCAAAACCAAAAGCCTTTGCTTCACCATCAGTGCAAAGTATGCGGACGAAGTAAATGTCCAATACGATCATATGCATGTCAAATTCACGTTTCATTTAATTTAATTCAGGGGAGGCTAGGTTTTATGTCCCTATAAATCAGAATTTTAATTATGTAAGGTGCTATAGCTAGAAAAGCTGAGAAGGGAATATGCTAACATGCAAGATTTTCTTGGGTTTACCTATGAACAAGGGCTGGAACACATTCATGATGTAAATAATACAAACCCTCTGCAACTCCAACTGCAATCTTCAACCTCGTAACCCAATCTAACGATGTTGATTTTTGGCTATCAGGATTAGTTCCATCTGAGACAATGCCCCTAGAACACAAAGAACTAGACAAGTCCTTATTAGGCATACACTTGTAAACCAGAAACTTGTCGTTCGCCTTCTCAAAGCAATGCCCCAGAAAAGGGACAAATCTAGCATAAGAAACCTTGCCTAAAAACTCCAATTCAGCTAGCAAGTATGATTCTTTTTCTCCAGATGATGACATTGACAGATCAACTTTTTTAACAACCACCTGAAGCCCACCTTCTAAAACACCGTGAAAGAGATCCCCAGACCGGCCGTGCTTGATGAAATTTGAGCTGCTCAAGTAATCAGTGGCCTGGAGGATTTGATGATAAGTGAAAGATTTACCAATTAATGGTAAGCTGGAGGAGGTTTTGAAAGAGGACACTAATTGGGCAGAAGGGGAAGCAAAATTAATAGGGGAAGGTGCTGATGAGGGTGCTGATGAGGATGCTGAAGAAACATCACTTGGCGTCCTAAAAGCACTCTGTCGAAGCTGCTCTCTGCGAAGAGTGGCTCTGACTAGCCTTTCCCAATTGTCGTATACTTCTGCCATTCTTGATCATCAATATCCTAGTACTAGGTCCAAGGTTTTTAATGACATGTTGCAATCATGATTCTCATAATCTGATATCGGGATCCTATTTCATACATGTATTTACCACGAAATTACTAGTGCTATATTAGCTGCAAAAGGGTAAATTTTTTATTTTTATTGATGGAAATGAATATTCTTTTCTTCCACCAATTCAAGATTCAACACGTCTTCGACGGGTCTGTTGACTTGTTTCTTGTTATAATTAATATAATAAGACTTCGGATCAGTTGACTTGGTTTCTTGTTATAATTAGTAAGACTTGATTTTTCGTTGAGGAGGCCTTAGTTTGACGGTTAAGATTGAAGTTCTAGAACCTAAGAGATCATTTCCCTACTTTCTCTATTGAAAGAAAATTTTAAAAAGATCTTTTCACCAATTGTTACTTATTTAGGGCTCTTAGAACTCTCTTCACTGTCAAATTTACAATTCAAATCTTGTGTCCCACCATTAAAGGTGGAAAGGGTGTACAAATGAATGAAAAGGGGAAATAAAAAAAAGGATTTATTCTCAATTGATTATTTTAGTTTATTATAGATTCTCATATTTAATAATAATTTTTAGAGAAAATGACATGTGATAGGGTGTTAATTATTAGTAATTTTATTGTTAATTTTCTCCTTTGTCCTTGTCAAATAGTGTTTTAAATTGTTAATATATATTTATATTTGGTATTTGGACCTATCTACGGGAAAGGATCTAAAAAGTGCTAAAAAAGGGAGACTTACCGGAGAAAATTGCTCCACACGTAAAAGAGTCCAAAAACCCTCACAAAACTGGCCTACATGAAGCAACAGACGGATGGCATTTCTTTTGGGCTGATTAGAAGAATTGCTGACTAGGACTCTTACTGGGAAGTCTTTGCCTGGCAATAGGAAACAAGGAGGAGAAAAAGTCGGCAGAGCTTCAATTCACGGCTGGCACCCTTTGGCTCTCAATTGCGGCGGGGACCACGGGGAGCATGATTGATTATTAGATAGGAACGTACAGAGGCTGAGGGCAAGAGTTTTTAGCACAGCTTTAGTTTTAGTTTTTCTTTCTTTTTCCTTTTCATGCGCGACTTTTGTTCGACAAAAGTCCCAACTGGAAAACAGCTTTGGGTGAAAAACGTGATGCCTTGTGAAATAATTAATTTGCATGGAGATTTATTTATATGGTATGGCTAAGCCTCTCATCTAGTCGAAGGCCAACTTGAAGGCGCGATTCCAAATATCTATGAGATCGAATTAATTTTATTTATTTCTTTTATTCATTGGTATTTGTACGTTTTCTGATTTAATTACTTATGTTTGTTATGTTATTTGAATATCAAGGGCCCGATATTCGAATTAACCTAATGATCTAATGCCAAATTAATTGATTGAATCCGTAATTGTTCAATCGATTAATACCAGTGGTGACTAGCGTAATTGGTTTCATGTTAGGGAAACGTATGATCTAACTTAAACAAACCCTCGTAGTATGTTTGTTGGTTAGGGTTAGATTTTTCTAATTATTAATGCAATCGAGTAATTAAATCCTACGGTCGTACTTAGGGTTATTTCTTGGTTAAGGAAATAGTTAACGGTCGTACCTTAACTATCGAGAAATTAAGAAAAAGTTGGTTGTTCATCGCGTGTATGATAACTATAACCAATCTATTAATGAGTAATTGAATTATCTTTGCATCGATGATCAGTTGCATGGACCGTGTCTGAAAAGTTGTACCTTTGGCTAGAGTCGTATTGGTTATTGATTAATTTCTATTAGTTGTTTTATTAGTTAGTTAATTAGTTATTTTATATTCTCCAAAAACTCCCCATACTTCGGACTCTAAAAGAAATAAGTTATCCCCAATCCCTGTGGATTCGACCCTACTCACCACTATATACAAAATTTGTATTTTTCTCGAGTAGGTAATTATTATTACACAGGCTCGACACCCCTGTCAACATGTTTCATTCCTCACATTTCGTAAAAAAATTCTTTTCGTCTCTCACATTTAAAACGAAACAAATTGGTTATTCACATTTAAAAATCCAAGCTTTTACATCCTAGAAATCAACTCTCAGTTGTGAATCAAACCATCTAACAACCTGGTTACAAATTTTAGGGGTAGAATTGGTAGATCACTAGCAAAAATATACTTCCAACAAATAAATTAAACAATTAAAAAATCTTAATTAAAACCCATTTGCTTCTTCAAAAGAGAATAGAAGAAGACAGACCCAAATCAATTTGCCTAATTCAAAACTATATATGCAGAAATAATTTGAACAACTAAACTTCCGGAGATTTGGAAGATTGTATCCTCTTTCAAACTATTAAAAATGTCTCTTGGTCAAATTCAGATCATTCAAACGCTGCCGATGGCAATCACACTCACACATAAGACGAGTAGAGTGGCAGCTGACGTTGAGATGGGGATGAACTCTGGTCAATGGCGCCGAAAAGGGAGCTGTTTCCTGCATTGGCATGGGACCTAAAATAGTTGGATAAGAAGGAGAAGGTGCAGTTGAAGCATCATCTGGTGGAAATACATAAGATCTATTCCAAGCAATACATGAGCTACTGCCTGGTGTGGAACACCCATGTGTGTGAGACACATGTATAATAACTTCAAGAAAGAGCATCCTGGACTTGCATTAAAAGATAGAATATGGCCTGCTGCAAGAGCTTCCTATGAAAGCAGATTTGCTAGTGAAATGGAATCACTGAAGGAGTTCGATGTAGAAGCAAATGGGTTTTAATTAAAATTTTTTAATTGTTTAATTTAGTTGTTAGAAATATATTTTTGCGAGTGATCTACCAATTCTACCCCTAAAATTTATAACGGGGTTGTTAGATGGTTTGATTCACAACTGAGAGTTGATTTCTAGGATGTAAAAGCTTGGGTTTTTAAATGTGAAGGACCAATTTGTTTCATTTTAAATGTGAGGGACGAAAAGAATTTTTTTACGAAATGTGAGGGTTGAAATCGGTCATTTTTCCTAATTTTTATGTGATATTCTTGGTTGCTTTTATATTCAAATTATACTTTTTTAGCAATCAGAAAAAGTTAAAATCCATCAAAAAAATAGGTCTTGTTTGGCAAACGAGTTTTTTGGATGTTTACCTAAAATTTTACTGTAAAAGTTGTAGAAAAAATTTTTAAGATGGAAAACTTTTTTCCTTTCTTTCTTTTTCTATTTCTCTTTCTTTCTTTCTCTTTTCTTTTCTTTCCTTTTTTCTTCTTCTCTCTTCCTCCTCTCCCACCACCTTTCCCTTCCCTCACCAAAAGTTCCAATAGTAGAAACAAAAATTTTTTCTTTTTACTTTTTCTCTCCCCATCTTCTCCTTCCCCCTCTCCCTTCCTCCCCTTACCCTCACTCGCTACCTCTCCTTCCCTTGTCGGAAGTTGTAGCAATAGAAACAATTTTTTTTGCTTTTTCTCTCCCCCACTCTTCCCCTGCCCCCTTCCCCTCTCCCTCCCCCATCACCATCACCCTCCCCCTAACTAGATTGCAGCCGCGATTTGGTCGCGAGCCACGATCTAGTCACGAGACCATATCATGGCTGCGATCTGGTCAGAGGGGAAGGGGGGAAGGTGGCAAGGGAGGGAGAGGGAGAGAGGGAAGGGGAGGAAAGGGGGAGAGAGGAGGGGAGAGAGGGAGGAGGAGAGGGAGAGGAAGAAGCAAAAGAAAAAAAAAGTTGTGGCCAGCGCATGAATCGTAGGTAGAGGTGGTGGTGGCTTGAGGTTGAAGAAGAAAGGAGGAAAGGAAATTTTTTTATGTGTTTTGGGTATTTTAAAGTGGATAGTTTAAAATTTTTGACAACTTTTTTGAAATTACTGTAGTTAAAGTTGTTAAAAAACTGATAGGAGACAAACATGGCCTAAACTCATTTGCCAAACAGGCCCATAGTTTTTATTGATTTTGATTATATTGTGTAATCACTTTTTATAATTTGATTTTACAAAATTTAAAGCAAACGAGGATAAGGCCTTAATATAGTTTTCTTTGTTTTTTTTTTTTGGAAATTATCATTTCATTCATAAAATCTGCACTAATGATAAAAAATAATCATCAAACATGTCACCAAAACAATAGATCTGAAGGATCTACGGATGCATCAGATTTGAGAAGATTATAAAATCGCATTATGAATCTCCAACTTATTCCAAATGACATTAATTTCTTTGACCCCAACGGATATTTGTGCATGTTTCTTCTCCATCAAATCTATTATTTAACTGCTTGAAACCCATATATCAAACTGAGATTTGACAAAATATACTCAGAAATTTCAAATTTGACAAACAGATTTGAAACAATCCATATTTGATAAAGAAAACAGAACAAAAAAAGCAAATCAAATAAAACCCACTAGGAATTTTAGAAGAGAAGACACTCTCTCAAGGAAAACTCAAAGAGAGAAGGAATTTCTTGCTAAAAAACACTAGGATATAAATTTTAGGAAATACTTTATTACTTGCCAATACATAAAAAAGAAATTATTATGGGGAGGAAGAGAGATCAAAGTGGCCTTTCTCTTCCCATGAAAAAAAGGTGTTGTTAAGTTGTTGTTTGGTTTGAGAGAAGAGAGGAGTAACTCAGAGAGAATGGAGGCCTTAATATAGTTGAATGAATTTAAAAAGAATAGTTGATTTGACTAATTTGAGATGAAAAATATTTAATGACAAATATGAGAATTTTTTTGAAAATTTAGTGACTACTGATTCTCTTTACTCAATTACTTTTACAAAAACGTAAAGGTTAATGAACAGTACATTCACATGAATCTAACTTTAGAAAACAAAACCCGGAATAAAGACATTAAATTTTTTGTCCAAACAACAAAAAATCAGGACCTTCACATTTTATTTTTATTTTATTGGTTGCAAAATCACACCAGCACCAGAAAATCCCTGTCCATCTTTTCTTTTGGTACTTATTTGTAGGCATGTCAAATGATAGAGTTTGAATTTGATCTCTTTGATTTCGATTCAAATTTATTAAATCTAGTTAGGTCTAAACTCAAATTCAAACCCGTATAGGTATGAAAAAGAAAATTCAAACCTAAAAGTATCAAATGAATTTGAGTATCCAACGGGTATTCGTAGGTAAAATATAAGTAAACATATTTCTAAAGACAAATCTAAAGATGATAGGGCAAAAGAAACAGTAGCTTGCAAGTTTTTTGATGAAACGAAATAGAGACAGAGACAATGACATCAGAGGCACGGAATAAATAGGTAGGATTAGGTGATGTTTTCTTATGTTAAGAGCATATTCTTTAATCTAACAATCCTAAAATTTTATTGTCTTCAATCAAATAGTCATAGAATATTAAATTATTTTATAAATTTACTGACACACACACATATATATATATATATATATATATATGAATTTAAATAAGATTTGATTTGAATCTGAATTTAGATATGAATCATAGAAAATCAGATTTCATCCATATCTATTACTCTTTTACAGTGTCTGAGTCTGAGTAGAGTATGAATTTAAGAAATTAAATTCAACGCATTGACATGTTTACATATTTGTGTCTGTGTATTGTGCGTAAAAACAGAAATTTAAGAAATTTTTTTAGGTAAACTCGTATAACTTTATTAAAATCGTCAGTTTAGTTATATGCACTGACAAATTTAAATTTCTACTTTAATTCGTACAGGTTTACTCTAAAAGTTGGAAGAATTTACATTAATCAGTGTAAGGCCTCTGACCATTCTGTCAGCTGCCTTCCCATGTGGGAGTGAGCTATCTGACTTGATTGGTATGCATCATGGTCAAAAACTCAAAAAATATCTCTTTGCGGGACAGCACCATCTTTTGTAAAGTTGTAAGCCACCCGAGAGAAAGCTGAGTAGTTTGGAATCTCATTGCTCTTTTTGTCTTCCATTATTTGACACCGTGAATTGATTAGTTGACTTAACATTAACAATCATGGTTGCCTGACCAGGGCCGGCGACCAGCCACCATCTTCGACAGGCTTCCTCCAATGAAATTTACATGGATCCACTCCATTTTGTGCATTGAATTCAAGTACAACCCTCCTTAATAGAACCCAATCAAGGCTAAGCAATGGTGGCTCAGCCACTACTTTTCTAGATCCAACACCAAACTTCTCCGAATTTAGGAGAAATCACTCCTCGCCCCTTGCGCAGTGGAAATCTGTCTTCAAGCAAGTCCAAATCTCATTAAAAAAAATAAAAAATGAAAAGTCAAACGAAAAGCACAAAGATTTCATGCCCAAAAAGGCATGATTTTCATATCAGGAACCGTGTAAGACCTTTGCAACGAATTGTAAAAATCGCAAGTACACTATTCTAAAACAAAGGTTTGTTACTTTGTACAACATTAAAATTCTACAATAGTACTAAATCACTCCTCGCCTAACTTGAGCATAAATCCATCTATGACCACTTACAGATCTCATTACAAGTTTCTAGACAAAGCCAAAAATCAAAGTATCCAAAACATTAACCGGTCTATTGTCAGCGCGATCGTTTTATGTGAATTGCATGTCACACCATTATAAACCATCTTATACAACACGTAAATTCAATAGAGCGAGATCACTTCTTGCCCCTCACAGAGTATAGATCTGTTTTTCAACAACTTCGAATCTGATCAAAAAATTCTTAATAATGTCACAAAGATTTTATGTCGAAGAAAAAATGATTCAAACCAAGAACAATGTAGATGTTGCATTACAGGTATGTTACTTAATTGCAAACCATCTTGTATAACATGTAAATTCTTTAATCCAAATCACTCCACAGCCCTCACAAAGTTTTTTTTTTTTTTTTTTTTTTTGGTCTGTCTTTGAGCAACTCTAAATCTCGTCAAAAATTTCTAGACAGTGTCACAAAGATCTCTTGCCAAACAAGGAAAATATGATGATTCAAACCTAGGAATTGAATGACAACTGTGCAAAATTTGAATTTGAAATTTAACTTTTGCATATATGTTATGAATCCAACTGTGATAATATATACACTGTCAGTGTATATGAGATTTACTCATAATCTAAAACCTTGTAATAGTTTGTAATCATATGTTATCCCATTATAACAATGTTAAATTAGTCATCACCCCTCATATAGTAATAGTATAAACCTGTCTTCGGGCAGAAAAGAAAATCACAAAGGTCTGATTTCAAAAAGAAGAAAACAATGACACACAAATACCAGGGATAACGTGTAAGCTTTGTACTCTAATAAATTGAGTCGAGGCTACAGCAGATTGGTAGTGGAGGTGGTGGCAGACCAATGGAAAAGGTGGTAGTGGTGGCAATGAAAATTCAATGGACGATTAAAAGTGTTTTTATGATGCCTTCATGGCTTCTGGTCAAATTTGCTTGCTTAAGCAGATAATGGATAAGGAGTATGAAATCATTTTAGAAATTTGAAGTATTGAAATAGTTTTTTGAACGAAGTATAGAACGTACAAAGAAAGTGTGGTAAGTACGTTTCGGAGTTAAAATGTGCAAGAATGAGACTTGGAAATAAAATTGAAATAGAGCTGGATTTTTCAAAAGATCCGGCACCGGATTCTAGCTTGGTTCAAGCCAAATTCAGAACCGGATTGTGTCTAGAGAGTTTCTCAATTTCTAGAATTGGATCCGATCGTGGATCCAGTCCGGATCACTAGTGATCCAGCGCCAAATCTTCTTTGGTCTAATTGCAGAATCGAATTCGACCCTAAATCTGGTTCTGCTAAAACTCGATAGACTTGATGGTATTGCTACAAATTTTAGTAGATAGAAGGACAAGATTATTTTCTTGACTCCTTTATTACTGCAATTAAGGTGCTTACAGAAATTTGAGCACAGGTGGCTCATTATCAATAACAACTAGGTGGTTTTCCCCGCGCAAGGCGCGGGTGGTGCCTGGGGGTGGTCTGTGTTTGTTTGATGTATGAGGAAATTTTTTGAGGATAAATTAAGTGGTAGAAATGCATGGGTGGAAGAATTGGTCATAAAAATTGAGAGGGAGCTATATTAATATGTGTATATTAATATGAAAGTTAATTGGTTAGTATGTAAAGGGAGCTATATTAACGTATGGGTGGTTTTTGAGGTTGATTGCTGAACGTATGTGGCTTGAGGTACGGAAGGAGGAAGAGGTAATTCATAGCGGTTTGGAGTTTGAGGCTCAGGAGCATCAGGAGGGTTTTTAATGATAATGAGAACACAACACGCTTATATTATAGATTTTCTGTTTTTGGTAGATTATAGTCCAACCAATCTGAGTTTAGACTGGTTGGTAGCTTATCTACCGTCAAAAGAGTTAAATATATACATAAAAGTTGTCTTTTTACATGTCTCTTACAAAAGTCATAATAGGCATAGTTAGTGGTGTAGATGGAATCCACACTACATTTGTGCTCTATTGGTCGCAAAAACAAAAGTTGTTGTGTGAAGCTTACTGAGACTGTTCTTCATCATCTGATTTTGCAGTTCGCTGTTTTTTTGGTGGACTTTCTGTTATTTTCAGTGAAGTCAAGAACCAGTCATCAACCTTAGCTTTTGTGGATCCTTGTGCTCTGTTATTTGGTGTGACTGATGGTGTTGCAGTGTCTTGTTCATTTACAATCTCCATTGGTTCTTGCTCGTCTTCTGCATTTGTTCCTTCTGTGTATTTTTGAGCATTGCTGGTTCCTGCTGCTCCTGTGAGCTTGTTACCTCTGTCAGCTAGGCGGATTTTGTGAGCAACTATAGCTGTGTATTTTTGAGTTGCAGAAGGCTTAAAGCTATAGGGGGCCTTTTTTATGAAGCAGATAATGGTGTTCTCACTGATGCATTCTTCGATAGCTCTATAAGGAATGTTGTTCTGCAGTTATGCAACATACGTTATTGAGATGGTTTATTGTGTATTGTGTAATGATAAGCTAAACTTGATTTGCAGTGGTAACTCATAGTTATGATAGTTACCTCTGATTCCTGTTGCTGAATTTCTGAGATTTTATATGGCAAAAGCTGCTGAGCATCTTTTCCATATAGATCAAGTGTAATGTTACCGCTCCAATCCGCGAAATCAACAGTTATTCTTGGTCTGATGGATATAAGAGTAATTTGATTAGATAAATGATTAGTTGTTAGTTAAGGGTTAAATGTCACATATATTACCTTGCTATAACATGGATACGACGTTGGCAGGAGAGACAGGTGATTTTATACTCAGGTGTGCTGCGAATGGATTTGTGACAGAAAGGGCAAGCATGGTACCAGAGCTTTTGGCTTCTGTCCAGAAGTTTGGCTGTTCCCCGTATCCAGAATGCTTTTTTCTATAACAAAGGGAATGGTATTTGAATCAATTTTTGCAGAAATTTGAATCGAATAATTTGATAGTTTAAACAGGTACACGTGTAAATGTGTATGAACTAATGTTTACCTGTGGAGCAGTCACAATGGCACCTATATGGGTTATATCTTCTGCATTTGGTGGTGGAAGAAGTTCCAATGGGCTCTCGTATGTTTTTTCAGTAATGGCCTTCACGATTGCCTCATTATTTTCAGCTGCCCTGTTGTTGTAGTTTATGTGCTAGTATTAGTATTGTGACTGGTAGTTGAAATGTATTTTATTAGTTTATTGAGTGCTTACCATTGCCTCAGAGGTGGACCTTCTTGTATTGGTGGGTTGATTAGGATGCAGGAGGCAAATTTTGTCGAAAGAGTTAGAGCTGCAATTATGTTTGTTTGTTCTTGTTAAGACATGTTAATGTAATTTTTTATTGTATCAAGTAAGGAGTTAAAAGTTCTTACTACCGTATGATGTCGCCTTAACTCTGAGAGCTGCTACTAGTGGCTGAGTGTGAATTGTTTCAGCAATTATTTGTCCTTCATCAGTCGCATGCTCTCCCCAGAGTGTAAGGATGATTGCCATTGAACTGATACAAGAAAGCTTTTTGTTAGTAGTTGCGATGGACTTGTCAGTAGCTTAAAATTTGTTTTTGGTATCATACCTTTGATCTGCGATTACAATGTCTCTGATTGGAGTTGTTCCTTTGGTTGATTGCGGATTGACGTGGATAACAATACCAATCATATCTGCATTTAGTTTTATGAGAGTTTATGGAAGACATGTAATTATTATTGCTGAAATAGAAAATATTACCTAGATCAGAATTAGTGTCAATCTGATGACAGAGTTTTTTGAATGGAGTGAATTGGTAGAGTGGTGGTTGCTGTTCATCCAGAGGTTCCACAACAGTTGAGTTATCAATAATCATAGTGCATGTTTTTCGCTCAACAGTGAAGTCATCATCTGCGTACTGAAGCCTTGCATTTGAAACTACAAATCGCCTATAGATCTGAAAGTGATTTCTGAAGAAGTCGATGTCTGAGCCGTAGATGAGAGCATCAATTTTGTTTGCCTAATTAATGTAGTAATATGAGTATTATGTATGTAGCAGTTGCAAGTTCAGTATTAAAGCTATAGTTTTAAGTGTGATGTACCTTGTCGTCGGCCAGAAGTAATTTCAGATATCTCCTTCCTTTTTTTGATATCTGAGGCTTTTGTTTGTCGATGACTTGAACTGTAGCTGCCCAATTCTTGATTCCAGGGAGCAGCTCATCAAATGTTATGAAGTTCATTGGTCACAATCTGTAGACAGTTTTAATATCAAAATAGAAATTAGTGAATACAAAGATGCGTTGAAGTAAGATTAGAATTATACACTGTGGAATATGTGCGATGAGTGAATTGCAGATAGTAATGAGCAAATGGTGTTCTTAGAAGTTCAAATCAACAAGTTTAAGGATGGTATTAGCTGAGAATAAGACTGGAGAAGATGTGACAGGTATGATGAGTTAATGTCAATGATAGAAAAAAAATGCTGTTGGAAAAATACAAGCATCAAAGTATTGATGAAGTGTTATAGCTGTGCTGCTTCTAAAATTTCAGTATAAACTATGTTAGGTGTAATATTATCCAAGCTGAGATCAGAAAGAGAAGGCTTGATCAATATTTTGACAGATTTACTGTTTCTAGCTCTAGAAAGAGCTACGTAGAGTTGGCCATGAGAGAAGACTGGCTCACGAAGGTAAATCCCAACATAATCTAAGGTCTAACCCTGAGCCTTATTTATTGTCATGGCGAAGCATAAACGAACTGGAAATTGCATTCTTTCAAAAGCTATTGGACAGTCTGGGTCACTATCTGATTTGAAACATATTCTGTGCAGGAAAACTTCTTTTCCTGTGAATTCACCACAGCTGATGACTGCCTCTATTATATTTGGTCGTAGAGATCTACATATGAGCCTTGTCCCATTGCAAAGGCCTTCTGGAGGATCTATGTTTCTAAGTAACATGATCGGAGAGTTTGGTTTTAGCAGTGTTTTGTGTGGAGGGAAACCATTTGGTGTAAGGCTGTTAACAAAGTATTCTAGGATAGCCTGCTGAGAAGTGTCTATTATTTTATCTTTGCTAATGTATTCAGAAGCATTCCCTGAAAATTCTTCTATCAATGCACTGTTGATGTCGTCGACAAAGTCATTTTTAGTTGTAAGAATTGCTCGATTCGTCCATGAATAATCTTCTTTTGAACAACTTTTCAAGTCTGGAAACACTGCATGAATTAAGCTGTTGAGTGATTGCTCTTCAGTGGTGTATGGTATGAGCAGGTCTTCAGGAATTTGAATATTGTTGTTGTTGACAAAAGATTCAGTTCCGTTTCCTATACGAAGCAAATAATCAGTAAAATTGGGATCAACAACAGCTCTCATATTTTGTTTGAGTTTGAGTTTGTGTAAATGAGGCCATATATAGGAATTTATAAGACTTGCTTGTATAAAGTCAGCTTTTGATCCTTTTGTTATGACTGGAAGTACCTGACGAAAATCGCCGCTGAAAACTATGATTTTGCCTCCAAAAAGATCATCTGTGTCCATTAAGTCTCTTAGTAGTTTGTCTACACGTTCAATTCCTATTTTGTGCATCATTGGAGCTTCATCCCAGATTATTAGCTTTGCTTGTCGAAGCAAATCTGCTAATGCACTCTGTTTGCTGACAGTACACATATTGCTTGTTTCCATATTGATTGGTATTTTGAAGCGCGAATGCGCTGTTCGTCCTCCAGGAAGTATTGATGCTGCAACTTCGCTTGATGCTGTAGCCAATGCTATGAAACCTCTGGATCTGATATCAGCTAATAGAGCTTTGTATAAAAATGTTTTGCCAGTCCCTCCTGGTCCGTCTAAGAAGAAAGATCCTTTGTGATTGTTGTATACATGAGCTGTAATTATATCAAATGCAAGTTTCTGTTCCATATTTAGCCGACTAATGGATGCAATATCTTCATCTGAGATAATAATCTGAGTTTCACTCATAGTATCTCTTGTTTCTCTGTCTGCTGGATTCAACCTCAGAATTCGTGGAACTAAGTCGTAACTATTGATATTCTTGCCCATTGATTGTAAGAACTTACTTATTTCATGAAGCACATTTAGTCGTATCTGATCACTTTGCACATGAGGCTGATGATAAAAATCTTCGGATAAAGATTCTTCAAAATTTTCCCAAAGCTGTCTAGGATTTGCTGGCGGAAAATGTACTAATATTGTGGCAAAAAGTCTTCTGAAAGTGTGAGGCATATGATAGAGTGCTGCTTCTTCGAGGCATTGTTGCTGTGCATTGTTCGATTCAAAATATCCCCTGAGTATTGCTGCTTCTTGAAGGCTATTTGCGTATTTATTGTCTATCATTTTGAGATCATCAAATGAAGTTGGTCCTTTAACATTGATTAAGAGTAGCCGCAGAAAATAACGCTCTCCTTCATTTGGATTTGCTGCAACAATTCTTCCAATACAGTCTTTCTGTTTCCTTGCCGACCAATACTTCTTATCTGGATCCCAAACGAAATGTTGAGGAAACTCCTTGTATGTGCATTTTAAAGCTTTTGCTAAATCATCTGTTGCATTCATATAGAAAAACTCTGTTAACATGGTCCTTTTCTTGAACTGATTTTTCAATAAATCTCTGATGTCTTCATTGTCCTTGAAGCTCATGGATTGATAATTCTGTAAGTGTAACTGTAAATTCATAACCGAAGGATGCATTTCATTGAGAGTAAATCTGTATATGCGCCACAGCTTCAATACCAGATACCCATCTTGCTGTCTGATATTCTTTGATTTCGTCAATGCATTGTTCTGAAGTATCTGAGTTAACTCGAAAATGGATTTTGTCATGTCCTTTGAAAATATACTTGAACATGTATTTGACAACTTTGATGGTAGAACAGATTTCAACATTGATATGGCAATTGAACTTTGCCAATAGGTACGGATTATGTGGTACTACCCATCTGTTATCCAGTTCTTGACCTCGAACATGAACTATTTTTCCATCATTTCTTCGGCGATATATTGGATAAGCATTCTGTCCATGAGTTGTAGAATCTGCCCATTGCTTTGGATACTTGTTCTTACAAAATCTGACCTTTTTACCTTGCATGCAGACATTGTTAGGATTTTTACTGCCACAAGGTCCGTGCATCATATGCTTACGGACCATTTTAAACAAATGCTTCTGTGTACCTTTATTTGGTAGTTCAGCAGAGACTATTTGATCATAGGAATCAGGAGAGTATAGCTTTGAATTGGGTTTCAGAATAATAAGGAAGTGAGCATGCGGCAAGCCTCGTTTCTGAAACTCAATCACATAGGTGTATGCTGTAACTTGACCGAAAATTTCTTTCTTGAATAGCTCTTCCTTTAGCATTTCCAATTTAGCGTGAAACATCCGAGCACATAAGTCGATTCTGTTTTGTGCTTCATCAGTAGGCAGCATGTTTTCCTTAATTTCTGGCCATGAAGGATTACATGTCATAGTAAGAAATAAATCAGGCCTTCCAAATTTCTGAACTAAGGCCATAGCATCCATATATCTCTTTTTCATGTCTCGAGGCCCTCCTATAAATGAAGCAGGTAAGAGTACACGCTGGCCTACTTTAGAACCTTGTGATTGCCCTTGAATTACAGAGTCCATCAAGCCTTGGAGTTGTTCTCTTCGAATAAGCAATTCCTTGCTTCTATAGAAGTCAAGTCTTTGAGTTTCAAGATTGACATACATATCTACAGCGAATTGTTGTAGTAGGCGGCCGGTGTTCAGAATATTTGGATTGTATTCTTTTCTAATCTGAAACTTGTAGGCATAATATTCTCTCATTGACACGAACTCCTTTGAATTTTCGTGTTGCTGAAAAGCTGCAGAGGTAGTTTTAAAGCATGAGTATCAAATATATAAAATGCATTCAGAAAAAATTTTGATGCTGATAGTAAACTTGTGCAAAATAGCTAAGGAAAATGCACCTTGTTGCTCTGAGTTGAAGAGCTCTTCAGGTGATGTAAAACTGGTTAATGTCACTGTGCATTTTTTCTTTCTTTCTGCTCTTTTACGTTTCTTTGGATTCACATTTCCTGATCTCTGAATTCCTGGGTGCCAGCCTGTTTCTCCAAGAGGATATAGTAGAGGATATTGGAGAGGATCGTAACAGCCATAATAGTACTATACGCGATGGCTCTGGCCTTCTTCTGTATATACTTGTATATGTCTGCTATAAGCTTCTGTTGGATTTTCACCTTCAATCCATAGAGCAGCAATTTGAGAAACTGTAGGCTTATTGTAAGTTCTTTGATCAGTAGTAGAATGTGATCTGAGAATAATCTGATATGAGTCTAAATCTGGAACATTGCGTAAACTTCGAAAAAAAACAGGCATAAGGATTTTGCTTCATCACATCCATGAGTTTAGAGACTATATTTACTGTGACTCTCTCTGAAAATGCTAGCCTGTTCTGTAATTCATGATCTGTATCATGAAAATAAAGTTGCAGATACATGCCAGATCCTCCGTGGGGAATCAATTCATTGATGAAGTGATACGTCTGTCCTTGGATTTTGAATGTATAGAAAGCATTAGTTCTCTTGCATAAGGCCTTGTCATAGTGAACTCCAAAAGAAGTAAAAGCGAACATATTATTATATGTTCGAACATATGTACGAAAAGATATTGCATCCTCTGTGTTTCCCGTATACAGCTCAACCAAAATGTCCGGTAATTTGTTTTCATGTAGGATAACTTCACTATCAGAACAGCATAAACTTGGTGTCTCAGAATGGAATCTTTTAGACCGCAGTACTGACAGTCAGGAACCTCAGGCAATTTATCTGGTTCATTACTGATTAATTTGAGTGCTTGAGTTCCGTTTGTTGTTTCACCTGACATATATTATTAATGAATCAAAAAGGTGAAGGTAACTGATGGTATATATTCAATTGAAGAACAGGCTATAAAGAGTATACAACAGACAGGATTGATAAAATTCTACCATGTTGCATACGTTTTTTAGTCTTCGTCTTCTTTTTTCGAGATCTGGCAGATGTTTGCTGCTGAGTGGATACAACTGTGGCAAGAATTATGTCAGGTAAAGAGAAGTTATTGATATAAGAATACATTTATAGATAAAGGAATTTATTGAGACAGAAGAAACAGTGGAACAAAATTCCATGAACAGCATAATAAACCTTTAATGGAAACATTATGATCTTTGATACTTGATTGTATGGTGTCACTGAGAGAAGGCACCATAGCAATGCCTACAAGAACATAAAAGAATGCAATGGGGACATTTTGTTAAGATGATTCATAAAGTAATAGAAGCTAACAATGTAAACAGTCAAGCCATCATTGGCAAACCTGGTGTATCTTGCACAACATCGAAAATGTACCTATAACAGTTGGTGCAAATTGGAGATTCACCTGCTATATAAGAGTAGTTAACAATTATTTATGGTTATAAAATACAAAAAGTTTTATGTACTTATCAAAATGAACCTTGATTTCGTTCTGTGTTTGACTGTAAGGATTGGTGGAGACATTGTAGTCTAGGCTGCTGAGCAATGGTCACAGTAACTATAAATTTCATAATGATAAGTATATAATCAATGATCAGATAATCAAGTGTAAGATTAAAATAAGAAGTATGAAATGCAGGACAAAATGATTAAATAACTGAATAAATTAACCTTGATTTGTCATAGGCTGGAGCACAGCTGTTTGTGGGAAGTCATTAGATTGCAATTGGGGTTGCATAGTTTGTTGCGAAGATTGGTTATGATAAAGTTCCTGCGTATCTAAAGAAGTAGACAAATCTGAGAGAATAGCAAAAATGGAATACCGGTGCAATAGAATACAACTACAGTTTCATAAAACGTAATACTACATTTATAAGTATATACAGGTATGCAGGTATCTCACCCTGGAGTTGGTGATGAACATTGGTGGTAGCTGATATATTTACATCCTCAGTGCATTATTGAAAACACTTGGCAGGTTCTTTAATCATTATTTTGGAGCAAAAAATATTTGCGTTGAATAATCAATATTCATAAAACTGGAATTCAAATATATTAATATAATATAATACTAAGTTTAAATAAGTGAATAGAGGAAATAGCTTCTGCACCTGCATCAAGAGTGAGTTGGGCTTCATCGCACAGCTGAAGGGTACCTCCAGTGGTGGTTTGTTTTTGATCAGACGAATTAGTGGAATTTTTTTTGGCTTTCCTCTTTTGATACGCCTCTCTCTGTTTTAGACGGTGTAATTCTTTCTCCTCAGACGATAACATAGCATATTTCTCCCTTAACCTCTGATTGCGTATAGCCTTTTGCGTAACTACCTTATGACTATCGGTACAACTACTCATCCTATCGTTTAACTGAATATACTAAACAAGCAGAAGTGGAGATAATGGTGTTTGCGAAAAAAAGCATGAATGCAAAGAGCAACGGAAGTTGGTGCAACTATAAAAGTGCAGAAAATTGCATTTAAAGTAGTCAAAGAGGTAAGAGAAATTATTACCCAACAAAAGATGGCTAAAAGTATTGAACAACTGCTGCAAAAAAAAGGCAATATAACGTCAAAACCACATGCATGCAAAAGATAAACGTACAAGGAACATAAACATGCATAAGGAAAACATGGAAACCAAGAGGTAAACAGGTGATTAGTAGCTATTCATGGAACAAAAACGATGAAACAAAGTAAAAGAGAGCAGAGCAGAACGTTGAGTACCAGCAGTGGAAATGCAAACGAAGCAAAGGGAAGCAGCAGAAAGCTAATTGAGAAACAATAGCATATGCGTATGAAATAAATCTATATATTTGCTGAGCGGAGAACATATAAACGCAGAGATAATAGCGGTGAATATGGCATTGGAAACAGCAGATACATGCAAAGGGGCAGGGAAAATTTAACTTCCAGTAATAGCCTCAACCTAAAAGCTCATAATCCACAAGAAAGGCATCTTTGACGAGGAAAGTGTAAATTGCATGGTGGAATTACTGTTTGTTGATTTGACCCAGCAATTGATACGAAATATGGGCCGCTTATGGGCCATGTTTTGGGCTGCAAGAGATTGAATCTTTTAGTAATAGTTAGTAGTTTATTTTCGAGATTTCTATTTTATTTGCTATGAATAAATTCGGTCCAAGACCTCATGTTGAGTTGGATCCGATTTATAGAGTCTAGGCTCACTATAACTTAAGTTGGTTAATTAGCTTTTATTGGGTTATGTTGGGCCAGCTTAAAGCTTTCATTGGATCGATTATAAGCTGACCATTAGATAGTGGATTTGAGTAGTGGAATCGGGCCAAAGGCCTAGCCTAGCCGAGTTAGGGTTTTCAAGTCACTTTAGGTTTTCAAGTTGTAAGGCTATATATAGCCTAGGTTTTCATTCATTAAAGGAGAATTCAGATTTTTATAAAATATTCGTGAGTTTATTCACTCTCTCTTGCCTCAAGAGAATTTCCTTTGAATACTTGAGAATTAATCTCAAGCTGTTCATCGAACTTATCAATCAAGTAGTCTCCTTGATTGTGGCGTTCTTCTATCTATACTTTTGGTTCACTAAATTTGCTAGTCTTGGGTTAAGGATTATCCTTAGTTCGTGGCTCGTGATTCTAGAAGGGTCAAAGTTCCGCAAACCCACTCAACTTGGTGTTCGTCTAGATCCGTCGCACATCAGCAATCTTGTCAAAGGAATTGACAAAAAAGGCCAATCCATATCCATAAGAGAGACATATAAACAAGATTTATTTAAGGGTAAACAAAGGAACAATAAGTACACCAAGGGCAAAAACGTAATATCAACCTAAAAAATCTCTACTTCTTATCTTACACGATATCTCTTACACATCTCTTACACAATATAAGAGAGGCAGATAAACAAGATTTATTTAAGGGGAAACAAAGGAACAATAAGTACACCAAGGGCAAAAACGTAATATCAACCTAAAAAATCTCTACTTCTTACACAATCGTCAGACAAAGATCAGAAGCACATAAGGCAAAAAAACATATAAAACCAAGACCATTCAGAGCACAAAATGACGGGGAAGGCCTTGAAGGAGCAGATGAAAGTGGCCTTGCACAGTAAAACAAAAGTGCCCCTTATATATTATAAGGAGAGACATATAAACAAGATTTATTTAAGGGTAAACAAAGGAACAATAAGTACACCAAGGGCAAAAATGTAATATCAACCTAAAAAATCTCTACTTCTTATCTTACACGATATCTCTTACACATCTCTTACACAATGTAAGAGAGGCAGATAAACAAGATTTATTTAAGGGAAAACAAAGGAACAATAAGTACACCAAGGGCAAAAACGTAATATCAATCTAAAAAATCTCTACTTCTTACACAATCGTCAAACAAAGATCAGAAGCACATAAGGCAAAAAAACATATAAAACCAAGACCATTCAGAGCACAAAATGATGGGAAAGGCCTTGAAGGAGCAGATGAAAGTGGCCTTGCACAGTAAAACAAAAGTGCAGATGAAAGTGGCCTTGCACAGTAAAACAAAAGTGCCCCTTATATATTGTAAGGATTTACTTTTACGAGATCAGCCCAAGAGACGAGTCCTTTCTGCAATATACTACTACAAACAAAATTCGACCCAATTTCAAAGATGTGGGATTGTAAAAGAAACAGCAAGAGATCGTATTAATCAGGACAAATATTGTTGGAAATTTTCAAAATTTGTATCTAGTAATTTTAGGATACACATACATGTATTGTATTATAAATCAAATGATTCTAAAATGGATATACATTGTGATAAATGTATACTCATTTATGAATACATTCATGAATGCGGGGATCTTTGAATGTAAAGATATATTCACGTCTTTGATCATAGAATCATGTGATGCATGAATTAAAGTACATGAATTTGTACATAATATATTGAATCTATTCATACAAGTATTTATTAAATTCATTTGTTTTTAAACAATTTCTCCTATATAAAAAGGTTAAGTAAAGTGTGTTTTGGTGCAGAAAATCACTTTCTTACTACTTTGAATTCTCTCAAAAGCACTCCTTAATTCAAAAGGATTTGTTTTACTTTGTATAAAAGTTTAAGACAAACAAACTGCATCTTATCCTAAAGGATATTTGTCCAAGATTATTGCACATTATACCAGATAAATAAAGTCTAAAGGAAAGTGATATACAATCACGATTTGAAACCAATTCTTGTTACTTTATTTGCCAGTTCATTATAATACTCCCAACATTCTTCAAACTTTATTTTGTACTCTACAATGGCTGGTACCTTAAAAGAGTTGGCATCCAACATTGTCAAACTTGAAAGGTTTGATGAATGAAATTTCATTTGTTGGCAAAAACATGTTCATTTCCTTCTTATTGTACTCCAAGTGGTCTATGTTTTAACCACCCCAAACCCATTGATCATCAATCTCGATGAAGAAATTCTTGAAGACATCCGAAAACGTCATAAATGGAAGAACAACGATGAAATATGCCATGATCACATCTTCAATTCCATGAGTGACAGCCTATTTGATATCTACTATTCAATTACTACCGCCAAGAAACTTTAGGATTGTTTGGAGTCCAAATACATGCAAGAAGACGCTACAAGTAATAAGTTTCTTGTCTCATCTTTTAATAATTATAAAATGGTAAATAATAGGTCTGTTATGGAGCAATTTAGTGAAATTGAAAGGTTTCTTAATCGCTCCACACAATATAATTTGCACATGGATGAAACCATTATTATTTGCTGTATAATAGACAAATTACCACCTTCTTGAAAAGATTTTAAGAGAGACCTCAAACATAAAAAAATGGATATCTCTTTTGAGATTCTTGTTAAGTCTTTTCGAGTAGAAGAGGAAATTCACATGCAAGAAAAGAAGAATACACAAATCTTTGAAGAGAACAAATATTCTACTTCAAAAGTACATGTGATTGAAGAGAGACAAACTATAAGTTTCAAGGAAGCAAGAAGGGCTAACAACCCAAGAACCAATCCAACAATAACAAGAAAAAGAAGAACGGGCAATACTTTTATTGCAAGAAAAGACATTACGAGTCCAAGTACAAGATTCCTAAAAGCAAGAAGGAGAAGCAAGAGTTTTTA